TCTTAACGTTAAAAGAAGAAAATGTAAAGTTGTAAATAAAAACGCACGTAAAATTGTACAATGCTTTTTACTCTTTTTAATTAACAAAATATCTATAACAATGTATATATGTGTATATGTATATAAACAAAAAGGAATAACATTATTCGTTTCGTGTTGCTGCGAAATAAAAGAACAACACAAGGCGAGAAATCAAAATGGGAAAAATAGAGGGGGAAGAGAATGTAGAAGAATACTGCGACATTCTTGATCCACAAAATATCTTTCTCTCACTATTTAAGAAACAAAATTCAAGAAAAACGTACTCAGTAAAAGAAAGCAACGAATACAATACACGAAATATTCGTGTAAGATCTACAATTCTCACTAATAATTCCACGTAAAAATAAATCTACATTTATAAATTCAACACGTCACACGTGAGATCACACTTCGTGAAATAACTGTCGACTTAAAAAATCCGATTCGCTTGTTTCGTCGAATCGACAATTTACAAAAAATCATCTCAATCCTGTTGGTGCTCGGTGCAACAACGTGTATACTACATAAAACCACGTGTAAAAGAAAAAAAAAAGAAAAGCAAAAACAATCGACGTGTATCATCCGACGTAAGAAGAGATGATGAAGAAGCACCAAAGATTTGTTACAAGAATAAGTTCAACGACCATGCTAAACTATTAAATTGAGTACTCACTTTGCGTTCAGCTTCAACGTGGCCACTTCTTCTTCTAATTTCGCGATTCGCCTGTCGCTCTCCTCTTTCTCCTCCATTAACTTCATTATCTGATTCTGGAAGAAATTGAACGGGCGACTTTTTAACAAATATTTCCCACAGGAGAAATTTATTTGTGAATTTCATCGTGACGAAAGGCTGCAAGAAATTTTGTACCGGTGTTTCCTACCGTCGGAAGAAAACGAGGATAAAGATAAAAGATAAGGGAGACAATAATACTCGACGGAGATAAGATGATACGAGTCGTTTCGAAAGAAATCAAACAATTTACATAGTAACCTGCAATTTTTCACGAGATAACGTTTTACTGCTTCACGCTTTTTAGCCGCACGGCTGCGCAAAGTGTTCGCTTGCCGACTGTTATAGAAAAGGAATAATATTTCCAGAGAAATATTGTATCGCACAATAAATTGTTAATGTAATGTAAAATTTCCGCTACAGTGGCAATTTTTTATTTAGTAGGTACTTCCCTATTCGTCGTGTTCCGTACTGTGTTTAAAGGAACGAACAAATATTCGAATATTCGAATTTTCATGGCTGAAGGAAATCTAAAATTCTCCGCCCACTTGAGTCTTTCTAGCACTGTTTTACAACGATATTTCAATGACATATCTTGCGAAATTTCTTATCACGTGAAGTGAACGAGTTGGGTCTAGAAACTATGCGGTTCCAATAGTGCGACACGTGACACGATACAAATTCTGAAAGACGTGTTTCCAGGTCGTTTGAACTCCAAAATTGGTAGCATCGATTGGCTGCCAATTTCCTTCTTTGGAATTCCGTAAACCAACCGTTCGCCAAGAAATTAACAACAGTACCGCGTTTAACTCCCAAACTTCA